ATCACTTCTTCTTGTCTTTTTGCTATAATTGCTCTATGTGATATACATAGATACAAGTAGTTCACGTCTTTAAATAACACATAAGGCAATTAAAATGAAGGTCTTACCATGCTGCTACGCTGTGGAATAGTGTCAGTCAACCAGCTACTAGAAACATGAATGAGGAGACAGAGGGGATTACTGGATCTCATTAGTGTCCAAAATGATCCAAAGCTTGCAGGGTCACAGCTAACAGCACAGAGGGAATGGAAAGACACTGAATTTCTTTCAAGTTAAGTCCCTTTTTTCCACTTGTAGCAAATACAAGGCCTGGCAGAGAGACATGCTTTGGTTTTGATCAGTGAAAGACATTTTCTATGAGTCTTTGTTGAGAGGAAACATCCAGTGGCTGTAACTCTGTGTCTGAAAACACAAAAGAGCACACTGTGAGATAGAGCTGTGATGGACTGGGACACAACAAGGATGTTCCTGTCTTACCAGCTTGTACACTTCTGTTAAATCAGATTGACTCTGCATATATTGAGTCAGTCTGGTCATACTCAATCCAAACAGATGGGGTCTGTCTCTCTCAGGAGAATGAAGACACTTGTGGCCACTGCAGCATTTTGAAAAGCCTTGTGGGACCCTGAGCAAGACTTCAGAGGGTTACACTTTATTTTTGCTATGTGCAATTTAAGTTATTAAAAGGTTGGTTAAAAAGAACAAAAACTCTGTCAATCTAATGGAAAGTGCAAAAATAGAGCATGAAAGAACGCAGGTTAGGGGGCGTCGAGTGGCCCAAAAAATATACTTAAAAAAAAAAAAAACCGCAGGTTAGAAAGTTTTAAGAATGCTCTTTGAATAAGATACACTCCCTGATTCTATTATTTCAGTTCCCCCCAAGTCTCAAAGTTTGATATAACATTCTGAAAATGTATTTGTTATAAATTTTGCTCTGGGGTTGACAAGTGGCGAATCATGGTATCGCATCTGGAAATGGATTAGCTATAATCCCAAAATCAGTTTTTATAACCCTAGTATGATCTGTTGGCCCCTGAGCAGCTCCACTCAGAGTAGTTGGGGGGTCAAGTGCCTTACTTAAGAGCACCCAGTGGTGGTAATGAGAAGCAAGTACTGTTTTCAATTTCCTGCCAGTCCAGGGATTTATTTGTTTTATTTATTTGAGTTAGTACAGACTATACCTGCAAACTGTTTGTCAAAAACCAGAATTATCATAAAAGTCAAAATACACATAGTGTCCACTTAATTAGGTATACCTCTACGATCTGATACAGTCAATACAAAATTACTGCCATGATGTCTATCATTACGAAGTTTATAATGTCCAGGTTTTTTTTGACATTGTTGGAAATGTGCAAATTCAAGCATAATTTTATTACTAAGGCCATAGTTTAAGGTGGTGTTGTAGTGGACAATATTATATTAGGAGGAGTTTGTCATTTTTTTGTCCTCCCTATTTACAAACATGAGGGGGGGCAAGAATATTAGAAACACCTCCGAACATAATGCAATCCAGTACTACACCATCAATATGACCCCAATGCTAAAAGATGTTATGTATGTTTCTCTTACATGTAGACATTGTCTCCTCCTCATTCTGTCATCACAGCACAAAGTAGCTTTATCTAAAATAAAAGAGCCAAAAAGGGGAAAAGTAGGTTATTCTTGTTACATTGTCTATTTTTTTTTTATTGCTGATCAAATCACTCAGATGTCTCACTGCAAAGCAAAATCCTAGAAGAGAGCTAATATTAAAGAGTTTTTCATCTTCTTGACTGCTTTAAGACACTGATGAGAAAACAACAGATACAAGGCTGAGTTTATCTCACTCTGACTGATCTCTCTTTGTTCTTAGATCTAAAAGAAAACTCTACGACTGCCAGGATTTGGATGTTTATCTCACATGCCTCAGTTTTACCAGCTCTGCTTTGGAGATTGAAGGTGTCAAAAGAGTAGTAGTGTATTATAATTAGTAATATATCACACCCACGCATATTCTAGACATTTTGCTTTCTATGAATTGTCAATAGCATTTGCTGTGATTGATGAGGGTCAAAGGTCATTCCTCTGTGGTCAAGAAAATGTGCAAACCAAATGCCTGCTGGAACAGATGACAAATACAGTGTTGAACAATTTGGGATGTATGGGTGTTGTGTTGTATCAAATTGCCTGCCATGCAACAATAATAAAAAAGGAAATTGCAGTACATAGCTTTGCTATACATTTAGATTTAATAACAATTGAATTAAGTAGCTTATCCGTTTCTTCCATGTTAGTGCCATGGCTCTGTCTGTGGCAGTGTTCATCCAGACTAAAATATGTCAAGAGTTTTCCTGCGTTTTTTCAACAGCAGGTCAGTTTTCAGAAGGTGAATTGCTGCAAAATCTGTACAGAATTTAATGGTCCCAAGAAGATGAATCATAATGTCATCATCAATTCTTTAGTGATCCTCTGACTTTTCCTCTAAAGCTACCATGAGGTTGACATTTGTGGTTTAAGTGAAATGTCAACTACTGAATGGATTGCTGTGAAATGTGGTACAGACATTCATGTTCACCATAGGATGAATTGTTATTTTGGCAATCCCCTTGCCTTTTCATCTACAGCCACCAGCAGGTCAAACTTAAAGGACTGGCATAAAAAACTACAGATATTCATGGTTCCCAGAAATGTAAGTTTGAACATGCTAAGGTTTTCATTTGTTTGAGCACACCAGTGATGTAGTCTCTCCTACTTATAAAATAAATATTAAGAGTGAATGAGCTGTATAGATAAATAAATACCTGTGACTCCAGATGTCTTTTATAGTTGCTCTGCTGGGAGCTTTGGAGGAGATGGGAGGTGAGTGGTTAGCTGGGGCTGTAAAACATCTACTCAGACTCTGTGTCGCTTATACCTCGTCCGACTGGAGTACCCGAACCTGATGGCCAGAAAGTAAAGATATTTACTGCTTAGCTGCAACTTCACATGTTGACATCTGGAAATACTAAGTCACATGCAATTGAAACGAATCTTTGGTCCATTCTTCCAGAATCATCTACCTCAAAAACTCAAACTTTTCATGAGCTAAGAGAAACATCCCTGTTTCAGCTTTGTGACTATGTATTTGTAGATAATCCGATGGGTTTTAAATGGTTCACTTAGCTTACGGTAGGCCAGTTTTCTCAACCCATAAACAATAATTTGGTTTATCTGAAAAAATTATAATCGCAAATGTGTTTTTTTCCTCTGGAAAAAGATGTTGTGTAACTAAAATGTACTACTGTACTACTGACTCAGAACTCACATGTCCTGTAACCTTCAAGCTTCAACCCTGAATAAAAATCCTCATCCGCACATGATCAGATTTTTATGTGATGCTTAAGAAACCTGTTATAGTTTAAAAGGTTTGTATCTACCTCAGTGTTACTTGATTTATAAGTACTTTGGAAAGAAAAACGAGGTGAGACAAGTGAGTTCAAAGAGACTCGCTCTGATGGAAGGAAGGTTTACTGCCCAGCTGATATCAACTGTGCAATCAGAGTGAAACCTAAACCTGCTGGCAAAGTCACTCAGACTTTGTACTAAAACCCTGTCCCTAACCTCACCTTGCTGTGACATTATAGCTACAAGCCTTAATAACCTCCAACAAGCCAGAAACAACTGACAGAAGTGTTCACACTGAGCTATGATTGGTTAACACTGAAGATCACTGAGCGTCCTTGCACATGATCAACAATGGGCTTCTGACACTGGAGTGTTAACTTTGGGCCGCTGCCAGTGTCTCATTGTTAAAACAACTGTATCTCACTCAGGCTTTGATGGCCTTTATTTCCGTACCAGCTGCCTGCAATAATCCTCTAAAAGGAATATAATCAATCCTCTTCAAATCCACTTTTAAAGGTTGTCTGCCTGTTTGTGTCCAGACACTAATCACCTCAGTCTGCTTTCTCCACCAAAATAGCAATTGTAAGATCCTCAAAATATGTTGGGTAACCACAGGGAATATTCAGCTTATTTCTGTATGAATGTGGATGAGATCTAACAAATAGTATTAATAACCTGCAGCATCATGTCAGCTTTGTCAATAGGCAGGTTCATCTTTTTTTAATCTATAGGATTTAGGTGGAAAGAATCTTTAAGAATTGTTTGTTAATTTGTTGAGTTATAATAATATCATATGAACAAATTATACATTGCAGAGTTGCAATACAGAGTGCAATGTGATTAACTCTAAAGAATATGATGATTTTGGAAAATATAGAAGGGAAAATTATTTTATATAACTGGAAATTTCAGTATTCTGCAAATAAATCTTTAACTTATCAAATCAAAACTTCATGTACTTATAACATTCCTAACATATTGACCAATGGCGTGAGATCATTTCACTTTTTTTCAAGACATATAAGCTTGTTTCAAGATAGTTTTTGAGAATCATGTGTTATAATATGTTTTGTCGACTCTTATTACTTGGAAATCCAGAACAAGAGAAAACAGTTGGAGCACACCATTTTGTAAAAATGTAAAAAATGTCATAACGGTTGAATATGAGCCCAAATTAAATGTTAAAATCAGTGCTCCTGAAAGCGCTATATATAACTGTGCTGCATCTTGTGCTTAATCCAGGATCCATCCTTATCCATGATGAGCAACAGGTTTGTGTAACTCTACCGGTGCATGCCCATGTAAAGGAAGGAGGCTTCACACCAAGGACAATGGTGAGATATAAAAAGGGACAACGCAACTGGTTATGGTTATTTTTGCCACATAATCAAGAAGATAAATCCACGATCCTTCAGTACATACTGTGCCAGCTACTGCTGCTACTGTGCAGGATTATTTTCTGTGTTTACATCTTTACAAAACTTCTGTTTCAAACTTTAGTCCTGAACTTTGTGGTAAACACAGCACTGCAGTAAGTGGGTGAGTATAATGTGATTCTGGATTCAATTTCAAACATTATCCACACTGCTGCTGAAGATGCTGAAGGTGTTTTGTCTTTGATTCAGTAGGAGAAAATGAGCACAGATGGGGAAATGGCAATCTTTGGGCCTGCTGCCCAATTCCTCCGTAAGTCTGAGAAGGAGAGGACAGAGGCTCAGGCTCGTCCGTTTGACAGCAAGACGGCATGCTTCGTCAGTGATGAGAAAGAGCTCTATGTCAAGGCTGAGATCCAGGACAGTGTGGACGGCAAAGTCACAGTCAAGTCCGTGGACGACAGAGTGGGTGGACTGAATGGTTACACTGATTTTAACCTTTTAGTGGACACTGAACATAGCTAGTGAATATGACTTTTCTGACAAGGACTTCATCCCAGTGTGATGGAAAAGATGGTACACAGGTTGTCTGTCTGAAAAAAAAAACCTGCTGAATTTTATTAGTCTGGCTTTCAACACAGACATTTAGTTTCCCTTGAAGCTCTAAATGCTGCTTCACTTTCCAGTAATATTTTGTAATGTTTTTAAAGTTTGTGAAGTCGGTGAATATGTTGTGGCCTTTGAAAACTCTATCTTGTCAAATAATTAGTTGGTTGTCTGCAGGTGCATTAAAATTGCAGCGTCACACTCTGTTTTACTTTACAACTGTCTCTGTTTCCAGATTTTAACCATCAGGGAGGACCAAGTGTTTCCCATGAACCCCCCAAAGTTTGATAAGATTGAGGACATGGTGATGATGACGCACCTCCATGAGCCTGCAGTGCTGTTTAACCTCAAGGAACGCTACGCAGCATGGATGATCTATGTAAGTCAAGAAATATGATGCCAATCAGATTGTGATGCTTAAAAATCAAAGCCAGAACTTAAAATTTGTTTATTCTTAAACCACTTATTTCTAACGCAGTCCAATAATAAAATGGGTTAAGTAAGACAGGCCCCTTAATTTTGCACTTTAAGAAATCTGTCTTTTTAAAGAGATATCTAAATTAGTAAAAATTTGGAGCACGATAGAAACTGGTCTCAGACGTTAGACCAGACATTATGCTTTTACCATTTCATCAAAGGTAGAATAAGTAAACCCAATCAAATGCTGATCAGTAGACATTTAAATTTAATCTTTTAAAATGTAAATCTTTGAATGACAAAATATTAAAAGGAAGATTAAAATCATTGTAATATGCATGAATCCACTCTGCTCACACTGGGTATTATTTTTAACTGCCATCTGCTCTGAAGTTAATCCTCCAGACATCATCAACACAGCTAGACACGCATGTGTTGATATCTTGGACTAAGCATATTGTTTCACTTTGACAGTGACCAAACTATTACTGACTGAATGTTTGACATCTGATCATCAAAATTCCAAAACTGATCAGTCCATAACTCTGGAAAACAGCAGCCTCTACAGTCTTTTTAATTCACTGCTCGACTACAGACAACATTCATAGTGACTGTAGTTGTTTGGTTGACGTATCTAGCAGCTAGATAATGTGACTTGCAAGTATTTTTGGAGCTACAGTAAATGTATTTGTCTATTGTCAGTGTATGGCTGTCAAGGTGAATAAGTAAATTAACTGTGACATTTAATGGGAAAGTTCATTTTTGTTCCTAGAAACACTCAAATGACATGATTACCAAACAAACTTCAACCACTAAGTCAGTGAGGTTCAAAAAGCTTGTAACAGGTGCGATTTTTCGTCAAACTATAATAACACTGGTTTTTGTTGATATCGTCCAAGCAGGTTTTAAATTATAGAACAATTATCACATTGGAAAAAAAGAAATGGTGACTCACTTGGCTTGTAAAAAGACTGATGCCATGACTGAATCCTTCTTCCATTTTTAGACATCTCAGTCAGAAGAGCCATGGCTTAGTTATCATTAATCTACAACAAACCAAAACACAAAATAGATGTTTTATACAGTGTATATGCTGAATATGTGTATGTAGGCATGATACTGTATGCTTGGTAAATATGGCAATGTCAAGGGCATACACTGTAAGGTCAAGGACAATAGCTCTCCTTTCTTTAGCCATAAATGTTTATTGTCAATTTAGCAGTAACTTAATGGCAATAATAATCCAGTAGTTGCTGTATTTCATATCATGATAAAATTACCATAAAACTAACTACAGTAGTTTTTAGCATACTGTGAAATTAAGTACAGTATTATAGCTACTGTTATTTTTTACAATGGCGAAAGACAGTATTAAACTGTTATGGATGGAAATGTTACTGTAATTTATTTTACAGTGCTACTGTATAGCCTGGTGTATACTATTGTGTTTATAACAATAAAATACTGTCATTTAGCTGATGAAAATACGAAGATTGACGATTGAAGACTTAACTGCACAAAAACCTGAAAATGAATTGTGCAGTTTGAACAATTATAACTTTAACTCATAATACAGGTCCGTTTTATTCAAGCAATTGCAACTTTAACCTTTTTACAGCCCCCAAGGCACAAAGCTGTCACAAGCAATCACTTTTTATGTCTACTTTAAACTCATCTCTAACTGTCACATAACATGATGTCTGTTAGAGCAAAGGCTAAAACTATAAAGTTCAGAGTTAAAAGTATGTTGAATCCAATAACTCTCTAAACTAAATGTAACTACAGTGGGCCATTCTATAATAATGGGCCAAGGTGTGGTAGCTAGCAGTAATGGACATACTGTGTCAACAGTTGGAATCATGAAGACGGTCAGGTTTGTACAAAATGGCGCAGCTCCTGCTCTGAGGACGAATGAAAGCGATAAGCCAGCTAAAATAAAATTTAAAAGATTGCATGTTAACATTAATGTTACATGCAAACATCCAAAGCCAAGGTCAAAGCTCCATTAAATAATAGAAAGTGTAGTTAACTTTGGTCTTCAGCACAAATATAATAACGCTATGAAATAAAATGTGCAAATTTAAGCTGTAAAGCTATAAATGGTTATTTATTAGCTTCTATCTTACTGTTAAGCTAACAGGCCAACTATGCTACGCTAACGTTGGCTAGCTAATTTAACTAGCGGTGTAACGACGGTTACAGACAAAGACTGTATATAAACAAATAATTACAGAACAAAGTCACGTGCAGTTCTTCTGAGCTAACATTAAGATTATGTTAGTGCTTTTTTGTTTGCATAAAAAGAGTCACCATTCACCAGATATTAATGATGACGCAGGAGCCAGGTAAGCAGACAGACATGACGACAGGACAGAACGGGCTCGGATTATGCGTTTATACATACAGGTGTATATCACCCTGCTGAGAGCTAGCACTAAAGAGTGCATGCTAAAGGTCGCATACTATAATAAACAATAAGCCCTAACATGAATCAATGTCATTTATTATTACAGTGAAAGAAAAATCTGTTTTCTGTCTCATTAAGTTACTAAACTATTAAATTCAATCTCACTAACATTCGCTATCGATTTGATGAAGCATCATACTGGGCTAACGCTAAGTTACTTCGCTAGCCTTAGTTATTAAACCCAAACCTAACGTACCTAACAGTAAGAAACTGTTGAGAATACAGTAAAAATGACTACACAACCATCATTTACAGTGTATAAAATAATTAGGAGTACGTGGGTACTAACTTTTTTTACCTTATATCTATATGATAAAGACGGATATGTTGACACGTCTGTTTATAGTAGATGGGAATACGAAATACAAAAAAACGAAAAAAAAAAAAAACCCACTCGGATTTCAGAGAGGTCACTATCATAAACTTTCAGCTTGAAATCCAAGGCAAATGGAACACAATGCTAAATCCTGTTTTTTAATCTACCTTACCTTACATTGAAAGTGCATTATACCTCTGTCAGCACAACAGGAGCCCATTATGTTAGATTATACAAGAGTCCTTGCTTGATCCATGGATTTTCCAGGTTCCGTAAATTTAAAAATGCATCTGTGTTTGCTGTGTGTTCCATGCAGACCTACTCTGGACTCTTCTGTGTGACTGTAAACCCTTACAAATGGCTGCCGGTCTATAACCCAGAGGTGGTCCAGGCCTACAGAGGGAAGAAGAGGATGGAGGTTCCCCCTCACATCTTTGCCCTGTCTGATAACGCCTACCAGTTCATGCTGACTGGTGCGTTTGCAGCCCAAAATCAATTACAACTGAGTAATTATTATTTTTGCCACCATCTAATTGTCATCTTTGTTGTCTCCCAGATCGTGAAAATCAGTCTATACTTATCACGTAAGTACAGCAGCGATTTTGAATATCTAACGTCAGAACAAACAATCAGAAATTGAGATGTTTTTTTTTTTTATTTTGCTTAGTGGAGAATCAGGTGCAGGCAAGACTGTCAACACCAAACGTGTCATTCAGTACTTTGCGACAATCGCAGTGTCTGCAGACAAGAAGAAGGAGACCAGTACTAAAATGAAGGTGAGCTCATGCAGGTTTTTGACCGGCTGTGCAGCTGGTAGAGTCAGTCATTTGTTTTTCAGAGCAGAGTGGTTGTCAGATGTACAGGTCTACTCTCCTATAGGGGACTCTGGAGGATCAAATCATCCAAGCCAACCCACTGCTGGAGGCATTTGGGAATGCCAAGACTGTAAGGAATGACAACTCCTCTCGCTTTGTGAGTGAGCCTGAGGGACTTCATTTAAATTTGATTTTCCAGGAATATATTCAACACAGAGTAAGATGTAAATTTTTTTTTTTTTTTTGGGCAGGGTAAATTCATTCGAATACACTTTGGCACGACTGGTAAACTGGCATCTGCAGATATTGAAACATGTAAGTTACATACAAATGTTTTACAGAATATTGTCTGAGACTGATGATGTTGCTGCAAGATGAAGTTAATTTTGCCTTTTTATTCCTTGAAGATCTGCTAGAGAAATCAAGAGTGACATTTCAGCTGTCGGCTGAGAGGAGTTATCACATCTTTTATCAGCTTACTTGCAACAAGAAGCCTGAACTTATTGGTATTCTGATGAATCCATTTTCAGTTGTTTAATTTTTCTTTTTCTCACATGTAGTCGACGTTCATACACAAAGATCTTAACCTAATTTCTTTAACTTAAGATCTGCTCCTCATCACCACCAACCCCTACGACTTTGCCTTCATCAGTCAAGGGGAAATCAATGTCAAAAGCATAAACGATGCAGAGGAGTTAATGGCTACAGATGTGAGTTGACTGAGTGAAACCACACGCAGCTTGCTCCGTCGTTTCAGTTGCTTTACATCTGACTTTTCCTATTTTTTTTTAACGCAGGAAGCCATTGATATTCTGGGTTTCACTGCTGAAGAGAAAGCGTCCATCTATAAACTGACTGGCGCCGTGATGCATTATGGGAACATGAAGTTCAAGCAGAAACAGCGAGAGGAGCAGGCGGAGCCCGATGGCACAGAGGGTGTGGACCACCCATAAAAGCTTAAATACAAATAAAGGAATCAGGCATACATGAGAAGATAAATCCAGAAGGCGGCTTTTTGTTTGAGATGTTTTTCTTTCACTGCAGAAGCTGATAAAGCAGCATATCTGATGGGCCTGAACTCTGCTGATCTGCTGAAGAACCTCTGTTATCCCAGAGTAAAGGTTGGAAATGAGTATGTCACCAAAGGACAAAATGTGCAGCAGGTAAGACTGCAACCAAACATCTTTTAAATAGCCCAATGCTTCACATGTATCTCATTCTTATCTATCATAATCTCATGCACAAGATCATCCGAGATGAGCCACTGGTTATCAGCCATCCTGTTACCTCTCAATAACCATTTGGTTGATTGTGATTTTCCTATAACTGTATGTTGAGTGTATTATCACTATTATTCAATGAACACAGAATTGTTTACTAATATTCTTTAAATTTATACCCTTAAATCTGAATGTTGAACAGTGGTATATGGACTGCACTTATATAACACTTTTCTAGTCTTAGAGACAACTCAAACACACATACATACATCACACCCGTACACTGATGGAACAGCCACCAGGGGCAATTTGAGGTTCACTAGCCACTAGCTGAGATGGTGCTGCTACATCACACCACATGACTCTCAAAAAATAATGTTCAGCTTCCAGCTAATTTCACTCTAATATACAACAAAGCCGAGTTGTAACTATATACAGTGCAGTCTGAAAGTAAAAGGACAGTGATTATTTAGGCTCTTCATTACGATGACACAGCGACCATGAGTTTTAAAGGCTCACTTTCATATGTAAGCTGTTGAATGTTTATTTATCAAGGATTTTCTCTATTTTAACGTTCTGGACTGGTGAAGTCATCCACAAAACATCAATCCAACTGACTGTGATGGAAATCTTGCAAGCTTTTTTCAGGAGACACTTGAAGTCTTAAGCAGAGGTATTTGGATACCTAAACCTGAACATGATCTCATGTCTGACCTAACTCACATTGAGGATCTTCCTAATCGTCTATCCTAATAAACTAAAATAAATATGATGCATGCTATCTGTCCCTGGAACACTAAGGCACATCAAACTCTCCCTTAAATGTTTGCATCTTCCTACACTTGCTATCACTAAGAGGCCTGCTACAACCTTGGCTACTGCTGAAGTGAGTAAAGCAGCTGCACACTCACAAGGCTGCAGATAAACTATGGGCTTTAATGGTGACCTGTGACTGACCTTGTGTGTAGACACTTGCTAAATGAAAGAATACAGACTAACTGAAAACACTGAACTTGTGTTACACATACTAAAGTTCACATATACTTATAATACTTCACATACTACACTGAAGGAAAAAGCAAGAAGTGAAGATGGCTGCCTTCCAAGCCTGGCGAAGCATCAACGTCTGCTGAGGCCTGTGGGTCCCAGACATCAGACTGACTGCAAGCCAGATATTAAATACTTTATTAAAGATTAATAGTTAAACTTCTCCACCTACTCTCTGGCTCCTAATTAATGATTTGATCATTTTCATGCAATACATGCAGCTCAAAGTAGATAAAGAAAAGACAGTGGATGAAAAACAATTAGAAAAACAAGGGAAGAAATTTGACAATAACAATAATCATACTAAAGGTAACAACAGTAATAATAACAGATTATAATAGGGAGAGATAAGAGTAATAACAACAGTGAATACGAAATGGGCGACACAGGATTACATTAACAAAAATGTTTAAAAATGAAAGTGAAGATATTGAAGATGAAAAATGATGCAGTCTAATAACCCTCCTCATGTGTTAGAAAAGGGTTTACAACTTTACTGTTTTGGGTTAAATTTGACCTGTGTTTGAATTCATTAACACCAATTATCATCCAGTAAAATGTTTTATCTGCATAAGAAACTTGTTATTCATCCAAAACTATAATATATATATACTTACTTGTATGTAAGTTTAACTCACAGTGTACAAATCCCTTTTAGTTTAAAATAAAAACCCTGGCCTCTGATTCCCCTCAGCTTCAGGAATCATCGTCACAGGAGTCGCAGATAACTGCAATGAAACCTGTGGCGAGACATCAATAGAAAATATTGTTATTGTTATTTCAGTAATGACAGACAGAATGTAACGAGCCATCAAAACACTCATGCGTATATGTATAAACTAGAGTCTTAATCTGATGTGAGTCAGCAGCTCTTGAATGTCTGTTTCATTTCAAATCCATCGTGCTAGTTTCAAGAGCCAACACACTAAAATTACGTGACCTTCCAGATACTTGTTCCTTTTTAACTTTCCCTCTTTTCAGGTGTACAACTCCATCGGTGCCCTCGCAAAGTCCGTCTATGAGAAGATGTTTTTGTGGATGGTCATACGAATCAACCAGCAGCTCGATACAAAACAACCCAGACAGCATTTCATTGGTGTTCTTGACATCGCCGGCTTTGAGATCTTTGACGTAGGTGTTTAACGTCTGTAGGCTTCCTGAATAACGTCTGTTTATTTGAATATGATCTCTACTGCTTTCTTTTAGTACAACAGCATGGAGCAACTCTGCATTAATTTCACTAATGAGAAGCTGCAACAGTTTTTCAACCACCACATGTTCGTACTGGAGCAAGAAGAATACAAAAAGGAAGGAATAGACTGGGAGTTCATTGACTTTGGTATGGACCTGGCAGCCTGCATTGAGCTCATTGAAAAGGTATTGAATACTGTGGAATTTAAAATAAGAACCCAAATGGAATTAAATGTTGCAACTGTCATAATAATTATTAATCAAAATGCTTTGTTTCCAAGCCAATGGGAATCTTCTCCATCCTCGAGGAGGAGTGCATGTTCCCAAAATCAACAGACACCTCGTTCAAGAACAAACTGTACGACCAGCACCTTGGCAAGAACAGCTGCTTCTTGAAGCCCAAACCAGTGAAAGGGAAGCCTGAGGCTCACTTCACCCTGGTGCACTATGCCGGCACCGTGGACTACAACATCACCGGCTGGCTGGAGAAGAACAAAGACCCGCTTAACGAGTCCGTTGTTCAGCTTTACCAGAAGTCATCGGTCAAAACACTGTCCATGTTCTACGCAAGCTTCTCTGGGTCGGATGGTAACTAAGCTTTTTAACCATAGTTGGCTTTTCTGAATATTTATAAACTATTGGCTGTGTCTGATTCTCCCCCATACTGTATTATTGAAGATGATATCACTGGCTGGTTTCAGAGCCAAGTACTGAGAACTTGTGAACCCATATATTATTGCTGGAGTTCATGAACAGCCATCCTCATTTATTCTGCAGGCATCTGTACTTATTACCATGTTATCATGAATGTTTATTGTAATTTGTTTTCAGCATCATTGTGGAAATGCAGAAATACATACAGGGAAAAAGTGTGTGTGATTTCTGATTATGGATGCATTATGGAGAATTATTGTACATGCAAAATCAAAATGATCAATCAAAGTGAAACACAAATCAACCCATAAATGAATGCACCATAATGCAGATGCAGCTGCAGGAGGAGCGAAGAAAGGATCCAAGAAGAAAGGAGCATCTTTCCAAACTGTGTCAGCTCTGTTCAGGGTGAGATGAGAGTCTTCTAAAATCTTAAAAGCTCTGTGGTATTTTTTTTTTATTGTTTTTAATAAACTAACGACTACGACTTGAAAAAGAAGTTTAACAGTTTGGGAAATATGCTTATTCAGTTTCTTAGATAAGAAGATCGATATGACATCTGTACGCTAAATACTGTATGAAACTACAGCCACCAGTGACAGTTGTTTGCCCAGTTTTCAGTGTTTGTGCTATACTGAGCTAAGCTAAGCAGCTGCTGGCTGTAGGTTCATATTTAACAGACTGACAATAGAGTGGTGTCAATCTTCTCATCTTACTCTGTACCACAACACGAATATATGTATTCCCTAAAATGTTGGGGAATGTTCCTTTAGTAAAAAAAAAAAGGTCTGAATACTATAAACAGGTTCTACAGTTCACCTGTAAATGTTCTTCCAGGAGAACCTTGGGAAGCTCATGACCAATCTGAGAACAACTCATCCTCACTTTGTGCGATGCTTGATACCAAATGAGACAAAAACTCCAGGTAGTTTTGATAACCCCTTCATTTCTAGATACACAGAATATCCTAAAGAACAATATGAATAAAAATAACCATCTCCTTCATCGTAGGTGTTATGGAAAACCACCTGGTTATCCACCAGCTTCGCTGTAACGGCGTGCTGGAGGGCATCCGGATCTGTAGGAAAGGCTTTCCAAGCAGAATTGTCTATGGGGACTTCAAGCAGAGGTAAATAAAGCCTCACCTTTAAATAATTCATAATGATTTGGTCTCACACTCAGTCATGCCTGTTATTCCTCCTATAGATACAGGATTCTTAATGCCAGTGCTGTTCCTGAAGGACAGTTTATGGACAACAAAAAAGCTGCAGAGAAACTGCTGGGCTCAATCGACGTGGATCACACTCAGTACAAGCTCGGACACACTAAGGTTTTCTTTTGTTCAGAGCTACCTAGTTTAAAGGCAGAAATGTCAAGACTGAATAAACTACATAAAAAATAACAACCTTTAATTTCAGGTGTTTTTTAAAGCTGGTCTGCTGGGAGCTTTGGAGGAGATGAGAGACGAGCGGTTAGCCCAGGTTGTGATGTCCACTCAGGCTCTGTGTCGTGGATACCTCGTCCGGCTGGAGTATCAGAAGATGATGGCCAGAAAGTAAAGATATTTACTGCTTTAAAGCTCCCATCAACCAAACTCTGCTTTGAGCTAAATGCTAATGTCAGCATGCTAACACGCTCACAATAGCAATGCTAATGTGTTGATGTTGAACTTGCCATGTTCACCATCTTATTGTATCTTAATTAGGTCAAAATTTGAATTTGCCAAACACAGGTTTTTAACTTTGATGCTCAGTTTTATCTCATTACATTAGGTTCTGCTACTGGGTTTATCTTTTTAGTGGGAACACTAATAAAATTAAACACACAACACGTAATTTGCTGCTGCTATTGGTCTCTTAATCAAAACAATAACAAAAGACGGCGTTTGCTGACGTCATGAAATAGTGTGGGATTATGGGAGTTGTTGGCTTCACCATCATTGCCATCAGCTTGAAGTGAATTTTGATGCCTCTGTTAGACAACCACAACACCAACACATACACAAAGGGGATATGAAACAGACTATTAACTTGATTCAAATTATGGATTTCTCTAGGTTTTTTTAATTTGCTGGAAACATTTGGGATAATGTAAGTTCACAACTCAACAAAATATTTAACAGTGGTCTAGTCATTTTTAAAAATTTTGAAATTTGAAAAATTAATTAATTAATAAATTAATTAATTGTAATGAATGTGCAACCTAAAATCTAATGAAACTTCCAGAAATAAGAGATAATAATATCACAGAAGACACAATCTCAGTTTCTCAATAGTAGCTATGGTCTTGATGCATCACTGTAACGTAGCTTTGACAGCGACATACACATTATTCACATGTTGTGATGGCTGCCTGGTGGGAAAACACCCTCAGAAAAATGACAAACTTTAAAAATGTCATGTAAAATCATTGTCATACTTTAAAAAATCGGCCTAGTTGTGCCAATTGGATGGAAATGAGAATTTGGATGAGAAGTTAAAATAATTTCAGTCAGGATGTATCCAAATTCAGTGGTTTAGAATGAAAATATATGTGTAAAAATCACACCCAGTGCAATAAGAAAAATGGCACCAGACAAGCTGAAACCTGCAGAGTAAACTTATCCAAGTCTTATTTTGACAGGGAGGCGATCTACACGATTCAGTATAACTTCCGTTCTTTCATGAACGTGAAACACTGGCCGTGGATGAAGCTGTATTTTAAGCTCAAACCTCTTCTGAAGAGCGCAGAGGCCGAGAAAGAAATGGCCCAAATGAAGGTGGATTTCACGAAGCTCAAAGAAGATCTGGCCAAGTCAGAAAACCGGAGGAGGGAGCTTGAAGAGAAATTGGTCTCCGTCGTACAAGAGAAGAATGATCTACTACTTCAAGTCCAAGCAGTAAGTTATACCACAGAGAGAATTAGTGCAAGTTTACATAGTTGTACATGAATAATTTTGGTACCTAAACTTGACATCAGGAGGCAGACAACCTGCTGGATGCAGAGGAGAGATGTGAAGGACTCATCAAAAGCAAGGTGCAGCTGGAAGCCAAGCTGAAGGAGGTGACGGAGAGACTGGAGGACGAGGAGGAGGTGAATGCTGAGCTGACCGCCAAGAAGAGAAAACTGGAGGACGAGTGCTCAGAGCTGAAGAGAGACATCGACGACTTAGAGCTCACCTTGGCCAAAGTGGAGAAGGAGAAACACGCTGTTGAAAACAAGGTAATGTTACATACAGTACCTTGTGTTGTCTAATGTTACTGTATCAGCATGTTGGAGGAGAACTGTCACATCAGTTCCTTAATAATGGCTCTAGGTGAAAAACTTGACTGAAGAAATCATGAGCCAAGACGAGAACATCGCCAAACTGTCCAAGGAGAAGAGAGCGCTGCAGGAGGCTCATCAGCAAACACTGGACGACCTGCAGTCAGAGGAGGACAAAATCAACACTCTGACCAAAGCTAAGACCAAACTAGAACAGCAGGTAGATGAGGTGAGTTATAGAGTCAAGGCTGGAAAGACTGATATTTTATTAGCTTCAGTTAAGATGCACATGATGACCAGATTTGTGTTTTCAGCTTGAGGGGTCACTGGAACAAGAGAAGAAGGTCCGGATGGATCTGGAGAGGGCCAAGAGGAAGCTGGAGGGCGATGTGAAACTTGCTCACGAGTCCATCATGGATCTGGAAAATGAGAAGCAGCAGCTGGATGAGAAGCTGAAGAAGTAGGTTTTCCCTGGTACCCATAATGTTACAATTATAGATACGGTTTTACTAAATGAATTATAGCTATATTCATCTGTATGGTGGTGTGTTATAAAACATAATGGGCAAAGTTACCGTGGTTTCTAGATGCTAGGTTTCTGATCGTCTGCAGATCTGTCTCGATGTCTCACCATCTCAGCGACTATGAGATGGTTCAGAAACCTGGGTAAGGTGTTTACATGCAACAGTATCCTGGTTCCTATTAGAGTACTCCTGGTAGTTTATATAGGATTCTCAAAACCTGGATAAGGTCTTATCCAGGTTTCTCAAAACTGGGATAAGCTGTTTACATGCAAAAAACATAACCGGTATACTAGTGTGCATACTAGTGTCTTACAACCTGCAGCTGTTTGGCTCAGCCCCACAGCTCTTATTAGTGGTGTTTCCAACAGCATTTGGCAGCAGTCTCCAGTGACACAGAACGGCTAACAGACAAAGTTATCAACTAGCTGGTGAACATACCGCACATAAGGAGACGAATATTTCCCTGTAGCTCAAAGAAAAGCGCAAATGTTGGACTTAAGACTCATTACTGTCCCCCAGGTGTCAACTACAAGTCCTCAGAAAGGCAATAAATAAACTCATCAACAACCCCACACACGTCCGTTATGACTGCTTTGAGCTAATGTCACCAGGAATGTGTTTGAATTGAAACAAAATGAAATATTACTTGACTCCTTGACTCCTTGTGTAAAGAGCTTAAGTCCTGCTCCAATTCCAAGTACTAACATGAACAGCACAAATGAACAGCAGGCTTTACTTCACTTGACAGGAAAGACTTTGAGTTGTCACAGCTGCAGACGAAGATAGAAGACGAACAAGCTCTTGGTACACAGCTGCAGAAGAAAATCAAAGAGCTCCAGGTGAGGAATCAGTCACTGACTTGGGTTTTAGGTGACACCGCAAAGCTAAATTACTTCCAGGATCACATCGTTGTAATCTCGTATCTTCAGGCTCGAATTGAGGAGCTGGAGGAAGAAATGGAGTCAGAGCGTTCGGCTCGGGCCAAAGTGGAGAAACAGAGGTCTGATCTGTCCAGGGAGCTGGAGGAGATCAGTGAGAGGCTGGAGGAGGCCGGAGGAGCCACCGCCGCTCAGGTTGAGATGAACAAGAAGCGGGAAGCCGAGTTCCTCAAACTGCGCAGAGAGCTGGAGGAGTGTTCCCTGCAGCACGACGCCACCTCGGCTGCCCTGCGCAAGAAACATGCAGACAGCGTGGCTGAGCTTGGAGAACAGCTTGATAACATCCAGAGGGTCAGGCAGAAACTGGAGAAGGAGAAGAGCGAGTTAAAGCTGGAGATGGATGACTTATCAAGCAATATGGAAACCATGGCTAAAGCAAAGGTTGGTTATTGTACTCATCATGATTTTTTTTTTTTGTTCACTTCCATTTAAAGAGATGACAAGTGAAACTTTTCTCTTTCCAATTCAAAGATTCATTTAGAGAAAATGTGCCGCTCACTTGAAGATCAACTGAATGAGTTAAAAACCAAAGAGGAGGAACATCAGAGACTCATAAATGACCTTTCAAGTCAGAAAGCTCGGCTGCAGACAGAAAATGGTGAGGAATACTTTGTCAGATCTGAGCAATAAAGTCATAGTCACATTCACTCACTGACAAGCTATTTCTAATTTTCCTACAATTATCATCCAGCTGAAATGTCTCGCCAGCTTGAAGAAAAAGAATCGTTAATGTCACAGCTAACTCGGGGGAAGCAAGCCTTTATGCAGCAGATCGAGGAGCTGAAAAGACTCCACGAGGAGGGGGCGAAGGTAAGGTCCGGCCAAAGAGATGAGCATGGTCATGGTTCAAAGATGGAGCTCAAAGTGTTTATGCTGGTTCTGTAATTTCTTTTCAGGCTAAAAACGCCTTGGCTCACAGTTTGCAATCAGCTCGACATGACTGCGAGCTGCTCAGAGAGCAGTACGAGGAAGAGCAGGAGGCCAAAGGTGAGCTGCACCGCTGCCTGTCCAAGGCCAACAGCGAGGTGGCTCAGTGGAGAACCAAATACGAGACCGACGCCATCCAACGCACCGAAGAGCTCGAGGAGGCAAAGTAGGAAGTAGGAACTCCACATCAGTTTCAAACAGGATATTATCCCACGGGACCTTATGATAAACCATGAGTCTTTCCCACAGGAAGAAGCTCGCTCTGCGTCTGCAGGACGCAGAAGAAGCTGTGGAGGCCGTTAACTCCAAGTGTTCCTCTCTTGAAAAGACAAAGCAGCGGCTGCAGGGAGAGGTGGAGGACTTGATGATGGATGTCGAGAGGTCCAACGCTGCTGCTGCTGCCTTGGACAAGAAGCAGAGAAATTTTGACAAGGTTTTAACCTTCAGATTTTATAAGATATCATGTAAATACTAATGTAAGTGATACACTGACTGAGAAACACAGACAGTTTCATGTCGGGGAAGGAATCATTTTAAGTGATAGGTGCTAAAACTGCGTGCTGCAGTAAACCTTGAACCTGGGCAGATATATAGATATATAGAGTATTTTTAGTTTAAGGTCTCGTCTGGTAGCTGGCTTTTTACCAAAGTACAAAGGTGTTAAATATACTATTTAATATACTACTAATATATTTTAATGTGATTAAAAAGTGACCTACTTTGGGCCGGAATGTTTCATTAAAAAGTCTAGGGAAGCATTTAGTCAGAGGTGGGGAAGTTAACCAGATGTGCATCTTTGTTGTCCTCTCTGTTGTAAAACCTAAACAAACTCTGAAAACACTTCTGATTAAGTATAAATTTCAACTTTGTGCAACTCATCCAAATCAGGCATCATATATATTCTAGTCATAATGAGGCGAATATGACAAAGGTGAGATTTCTGCTTTATTAGAACTTGGACAACTTAATTGGCCCGTTTGGGAAATGCAGCAACGTGCAAGGTGGATATTTTACTGCAAATGAAAAGTACACGCAAGTTGAAGCTAAAACCATTTTACTGAAATAGCAAGTTAACACAAAGCTGCCAAAACCAGGAACATCTATATCATCACAGGGACGAGAAGTATCACTGCTGCTGAGGAATCTGGTGTCACATCTCTAGCAAAACTTTTACAGAACAGGATATTGTTCCTCCATTGCCTGATTTTGATTCGTCCGCTGTTTATGTTACCGTCCTGTTCAGGTGTCTCTAGGAAACTAGGTTTCCACCCTCAATGGGACTTACCTGGTTTGAATTAGTAGGTACTTTAGGACAACCTTGAAGTTATCTATAATAATGTTCAAGGAAACATTAACTTGAACACCATGGATCACCTTAATAGTCTTCTCTCTTGCACAAGTTCACATTTAACCAGACTTTTAGATATCAAACTTAGAAAGAAAAATTTGTGTTAAATATTCAACTTTCAAATGAACTTCCTGTAGGTTGTGGCTGAGTGGAAACAGAAATACGAGGAAGGTCAGTCAGAGCTGGAGTCAGCTCTGAAAGAGGTGCGCACTTTGGGCACTGAGAACTTCAAGATGAAGAATGCCTTTGAAGAATGCCTGGAACAAGCGGAGACACTTAAACGCGAAAATAAAAATCTGCAACGTATATATACACTCTTTTTTTTTTTTTTAATTTACAATAATGCTGTAGCCAATGTTTTTTAGTGGCAAATGGTAGAACATCATATTTCCTTTTGTTGCAGAGGAAATCATGGATCTCACAGAACAGCTGGGAGAAACAGGAAAAACCATCCATGAGCTCGAGAAATTAAAGAAACAGGCTGAGCAGGAGAAGTTGGAGGCTCAGACCGCTCTGGAGGAGGCAGAGGTAGGTGGAAGAAAATATCTAAATTAAATATATTTAAACATACTCTACAATATCTGGTCAACATGGCTGCATGTCCCTTTTTTAATCAGGCCTCTGTGGAGCACGAGGAATCCAAGATCCTGCGAGTCCAGCTGGAGCTGAACCAGGTGAAGTCTGAGGTGGACAAGAAGGTAACAGAGAAGGACGAGGAGATCGAGCAGCTGAAGAGAAACAGCCAACGAATCATTGACAACATGCAAAGTAACCTGGACGCTGAGGTCCGGAGCAGGAACGACGCCCTGAGAGTGAAGAAGAAGATGGAGGGAGACCTGAACGAGATGGAGATCCAGCTGAGCCATGCTAACAGGCAGGCGGCCGAGGCCCAGAAACAACTGAGGAACATACAAGTTCAGCTCAAGGTACTACCACATATTAGACCCTGTACAGACTGAGCAATGTTTCCTTTATGAAGACATACAGTAGAAGGACACTGTTTTATTTGATTGTGTAGGAAGTTCAGATTCAACTGGACGATGTCCTTAGAAACAACGATGACATAAAAGAGCAGGTCGCCATGTCTGAGCGCAGGAGTAACCTGGTGCAGGCTGAGATGGAGGAAATCAGAGCGACTCTGGAGCAAACCGAGAGGAGCCGCAAGTTAGCAGAGCAGGAGCTGCTGGATGCCAGCGAGAGAGTCCAGCTGCTTCACTCACAGGTTCTTCTTTTATCATGTTTTCATTCGTTTTCACTTTCAAGGTAGCCTCATAGAAAGCCTCTTTGAGGGAACAGGAACCTTTTGAGGAAATCAGGTCCTCTACCTGCCTTTCCACCAGGGGAACCAGGGTCTAAATTAAGTTCTGGGGAGACAGTTTCACCCTGAAAAAAACGACCCCCTGCTCGGGGGGTAGTACTTTCTGAGGGTTCAAGAACTTTCGGCGTGGGCCTCGCAGTGCTGAACGTTGGCCATTGTTCAAGTATACTAGCATTTTTTTTTTTTTTTAAACCTGCAGCTACAAACACATTGTTTGGCTTAAAGTTTGTGGCCAACAATAGTAAAGATGGAGCAGCCCGAAGAGCTTTTACAGCTGATGGACTGGCAACGAAGTCCAGGCTTTGTGGTTCATTTTTGTACAATGACTTGAAATGTTTTGATACGTCAGCTGACTTATTTGCAAAATCTTCTGGGGCTTTGGCCCTGCTGTGAAAACACAAATCCACAACGTTCTGGAGGAACTTTGACCCCTGGGAAAGTTCCTTGACATTAGTTCTTGGGAAATCAAAGTTATTAATTATTATAACACAATTATTGCAGGTTTAAGTCTAAAAATAGATACATTTATTCCAGTTTAAGATAAGATAAAAAGAAAAAGACTGATCATAGCTCAGTAAGATGTGCATTCACACAATTAGTGTCTAATTTGTCGGACTGAAGAAGAGAACTACAAATCAGCTGTTTTTCCTTCCTCAAACTGATTTCACAGTCTATATTACAGAATCAAGGTATCACTGTGTCATGATTCATTTGGCATTTATATAGCACCATTATATTGTATAAATCATCATACAGCAAACCTTGAATCATCATATATTATTAATCTAATGTGAAATGAAATGATCTCTGACAGAACACCAGCCTGCTCAACAGTCGGAAGAAGTTGGAGGCTGATCTGTCTCAGGTTCAGGCTGAGATGGATGATAGTGTCCAAGCAGCCAGGAACGCTGAAGAGAAAGCCAAGAAGGCAATCACTGATGTAAGAGCTCTGTGTGTGTTTTTGTGTCTGGATTTTACTCAATTTCAACTTGAGAAAAGCAGCAATCTACTAACCGTTTGACTCCATTTTTTCAGGCTGCCATGATGGCGGAGGAGTTGAAGAAGGAGCAAGACACCAGCGCTCACCTGGAGAGGATGAAGAAGAACCTGGAGGTGACGGTGAAGGACCTGCAGCAGCGTCTCAACGAGGCCGAGAACCTGGTCATGAAGGGAGGAAAGAAGCAACTCCAAAAACTGGAAGCACGGGTAATGTGTTGTACTTTATCGCCAAAAAATCCTGCTTGATTGACATTTTTTTGGTTTTGTGAAACTGCTACATATTCAAATTTTGTCTTTTGCAGGTGCGAGAACTTGAGAATGAGCTTGAAGCAGAACAAAGACACGGGTCAGATGCTGTGAAGGGTGTTCGCAAATTCGAGCGCAGGATTAAGGAGCTCACCTACCAGGTAAACTTGTGGGAAAACCTTCTTCCTTTTCATACAAAGGCTGTGTGAAGTTTTAGTGGTCAATCAGATGTGAAGTATTTGTTCTCTGTTTCGAAATATCAGTCTGATGAAGACAAGAAAAACACGGTGAGACTGCAGGAGCTGGTGGACAAACTCCAACTGAAGGTCAAAGCGTATAAGAGGCAGGCTGAAGAAGCTGTGAGTGACCTCTTTTCAACATCAACAATTGATTACTGTGACATTTGGAAAATTGTATTAATCACTTATTTGGTATCTGGCAGGAAGAGCAGGCCAACACTCATCTGACTAAGCTGAGGAAGGTGCAGCACGAGCTGGAGGAGGCTGAAGAGCGCGCCGACATCGCTGAGTCCCAGATCAATAAGATGAAAGTCAAGAGTCGCGACATGGGCAAGGTGAGTCAGTCAGCTTCTGGCAACAGACTGCATCTTATAAATATTGATAGAAATATTAACTTTTAATGTCTGTCTCATTTTCTCATTCATCAGGCAAAAGACAGCAGCGAGTAGCTGTGATTGGAGCCATGAAGAAGATGAAGTCTGCTGTGTCTCTGAAGCTAGTACGCAACATACTCTTAATCAGATATGCATTTATTGCTTCATTTAAAATCACTATGTGTATAATTTTATATGATCATTGCGTCTTACAAATTATTCTGATGGCCAAAGTTTTGTTTGTAGAGAAATGAAACTATCCAGGTGAAAGTCGGTGTGGACTTTGACTTCAGTTTCAGTTAATTCGTCTCAGCAGCAGTCTGTTATTTTCATTGTTTCTGCCACAGTGTCATTTTGTAACACTGGAGATGCCAAAGCAGGAAATTTTCAAATTCTACACGCAGCGGTTTTAAATATGAAGTTGTGCACAATGATGATTAGCACCTGGAATTGATTGCATTCTTTCATTTTGTGGTAGTGGATGTATGTTGCCTTAATTACAATAAAATATAAAAGAAAATCCAACTATGTTATTTCTTTTATTGCTCTAAAGATATATGACCATTATTCTAATTATTATTATTATTTTGATTTTTTTTTTTGTATTTGTATTGTTTTTGTAGCAGACAGCAGGGCACTGCAGACCTTAACCCAGGTAGAGACCGAAATATGAGCAAACAAACAAAATTTGACTTTAATTTTACAAATACTTATCACAACTGTGCAACTAAAAACAACAGACAACAGGAACAGGCCAACAACTAAACTATGACAGTGAAAGTTACAACAGAAATGTGGAAATTATGCCTTGGATTGGGAAAATGCTCCAATTAGAAATCAGATGATTACTCTATTATTCATCTCACAGCTGTTTAAGGGCATTTAATGTAAAAAAAAATGTCAAAAACACCAATTTCAAATGTCCTTTACATTACTACTGGATTAATAAATATCAGTTAAATATGAATAACAGTATTCAGTTATTTGATAGATGATTGCTTAATTTATTTTTGTAAGATTTACTATGAGTTAACATGCTGTGATATCAATATGGTATGGTCAACTATAAACTACTACATATCTATGACATGATTGTCATGCACATTTATATCCACTGCTCTTCAAACAGCAGAGGAGTCCTGTTCCACACTCAGTTACTCGCCCTGTCCCTCTTGTGCCTGGAAAACAAACACATTCAAATGAAAATAGTGTATATTAATATATAATTTTTTGTATGTATTTCTGGGACAAAACCCTAATTCTTTATAGTATTGTTTCTATCTTTCTCTCTCACAGAGTTCCTGCCACACTACCAACAAGAACAGTTGTTTAGCTTTCAGAGGGAACAGCTAAAGACTAGTATTTAGAGTTTGTATCAAATACAAGCTCCGTACCTTTGTCCCAATTTCACGGCTCTTGGCCCGCATCTTGTTGGCCAGAGATTCGGCCACATCAGCTCTCTCCTCGGCCTCCTCCAGCTCGTGCTGGGCCTTCCTGAATCTGGCCATGTGTGCGTTGGACTGCTCCTCCTGCAAGTCAGTCATGTTAAATGTATCGGTGATCAGACGCTAAATCACACATTTTTTATTTATTTATTTTTTTATACTGATTGATAGTGATTGACTCACAACTTCCTCAGCGTGGCGTTTGTAGGCCTTCATTTTGATCTGGAGCTTGTCCACAAGATCCTGCAGTCGAATGTTGTTTTTCTTGTCTTCCTCAGACTGAACGAAGAAGAGAACCAAAGGATTCTATCTTTAAACACTCTTTTATTTGGACAGTATTGTAATCTAGTGCAGTGGGTTTAATTGATTACAAACATGAAGAATCTTTTTTTTTACCTGATAGGTTAGCTCTTTGACCTTCCTCTCATATTTACGGACTCCTTTGATGGCCTCAGTGGAACGTTTTTGCTCGGCTTCTAGCTCATTTTCCAGCTCACGGACCTGAGTACAAGAGCAGAGTTCAGTCTAGTTTCTATGATTTCTAGTTCTATGATTTATGGGTTCCATGAGTCTTGAATTTTTACGAAGGTCTCTGGTTGAACTGCTTAAATTAATTTGGTTGCAGCCTTTACGGACAACTGATTCCAAGTTTGCCACATAACATAAATATCAATGATTGAAAAAAAAGGTGCTAAATTCTTGTGAGCATGGCCTATTGGACAAAAACTCAATTTCCTTTAATTGCAGAGCCATCTAGAGCTGCAACAATTAGTCAGTTAATCAATCAGCAGAAAAGGAATTGGCAACAGTCATGATAATCGAGTGATTGTTTTAATAATTTTTTAAGCAAAATTGTGAAACATGGTTCCATCTTTTCTTTGTCTTGGTGATTCATGACCTGTGTGGAAGGTGTTGCAAGTTGGCCGATCATTTGCAAAATAGGAGAATTTTGATGAAAAAAAATTAATGATAAAGAAATAAAAATAAAATTAATGTTTTTAAATGTTTTAAAAGAGATGATCAGTAAAAACATAAAAAATATCTAAAAACGCTGCTGGTTGGATGTTGGCTGCTAACAATTTTCAAGTGGGCCATGAGTTGGAAAAGGTTGGCAGGGGCTGTCTTACATGGTAGTAAACTGAATAGTTTTGGGTGTCAGTCTGTTGGCCTCAGACAACTAAGGATGTTACATCGGTCAGCTTTAAATTATAACAAGCATTTCTTTTTTTTTTTTACTATTTTCTGATTAATAGAGAAAATAATTGGCTGATTAACCGATAATGAAAATAATCGTTAATTGCAGCCCTAGAGCCATTCTGAAACAATTTCACATATAGATATGTATATATAGACTCTACTACATGATGGTAAACATAAATAGCCACACCTCAATTTCTAGTACTGGCAGTTTGTTGCTTTTTTAGGTCACCTCTCAGTACGTGAACATTCTCATGGTCAATATTTTTAAGTTGTAGCTGGACACAGAACACTGTACTTACTCTCGCCTCCAGTTTCTGCAGCTGTTTCTTCCCTCCCTTCATGGCTAAGTTTTCTGCCTCGTCTAATCTGTGCTGCAGGTCCTTCACTGTGACCTCCAGGTTCTTCTTCATCCTCTCCAGGTGAGCACTGGTGTCCTGCTCCTTCCTCAGCTCTTCAGCCATCATGGCAGCCTAGAGGTAGAAGTATAGGCACAACTGAACTACTGATTTTTCTTAGTTCTTATTTCATTAAGTCTTTGTTAAGTAAAATAAGAACCCTGCAAGAGCAGATTACATCAGTAATGGCTTTCTTGGCCTTTTCCTCAGCATTCCTGGCCTCTTGAACGGCTTCCTCTGTCTCACTGTGGAGCTGAGTTACATCCACCTCAAGTTTCTTTTTGGTGTTCAGAAGACTGGTGTTCTGCCATAGATGAAGCAGTTGTTATATACAGTGTATAAGTAATGCAAATCAGGGGGCGTTGTTCAATATGTCACTACAAGTAAATAACCAACCTGAGAATGAAGTAGTCCAGCTCGTTCACTGGCATCAACCAGTTCCTGTTCAGCCATTTTGCGGCTCCTCTCCGTCTGCTCCACGACTGCTCGAAGCTCTTCAATCTCAGCCTGCATCAAGGCCGTTCTGCGCTCCATCATGGCTACCTGCTCCTTCATGTCATCCTGCCCTCTGACTGAGTCATCCAAGTGGATTTGGGCATCCTGAAAATGCATTTTGTCTCGGTTAAGCCTACCCTTCCGACACGGAGGGGCAAGATCTCTCAACATCTATAAGAAGTCCAGTGTGACCATCAGGTCAAAATTTACACCCCATCAACAAGCTGGTCCAGGATAAGTACCTCAGAAACTTAAGGAATCTACAGACGGTGATTCCTAATACTGATGGTGACCTCCTGATCTTTTCTTTAGCACCACCATCAGGCCAAAAGTACCATGTGTAAACAAATGATGCAAAATTTTGACATATGAAATGTTTGTCAACTGCTAAATTAGATTTTGACATGAAAATATTTAATGTCTCTGTAAAGCACTTTAATTGCCTTTTGTCTCAATGGTGCTAAATATACAAACTTCCCTTGATAAACATTATTAGCAATTTAGTGTTAAGTTAACTTTGCAGCATATAGAGACTGCTGAGTGGTGCTAAAGTTTTATTTTAATTTTTTTGCTGTAGTGTTAATGAATTTTTAGTGAGTCTGGGTGGCACAGGGTGGCACTGCCCCTCCCTGAAATATGATTGCCCCCCCCCCCCCCCGATGTAGAGAACACACACACAGCAATATTTGTATTGAAAATAATAAATAAAACACCTACAGATAATTGAGTAATTACGTGATGCCTATGTGATGTTTTTTATTTAGTAGAACAAAAATGCCCTATCCATGTGCAACAGTTGTTCAATACAAAACCATTTTCAGGCTCTTGTGTGGTTTTATGTAATACCACCTGTATTGGGGCACAGGGAATCTTCACAAGAGCCTTTTCAACCATGTATTTGTTGTACCTTGAGTTGCCCCTGAACGTTCCTCAGTTGTTTCTGGGCCTCGGCCGCCTGCCTGTTAGCATGGTTCAGCTGGATCTCCATCTCATTCAGGTCTCCCTCCATCTTCTTCTTCACTCTCAGGGCGTCGTTCCTGCTCCGGACCTCAGCGTCCAGCATTGTCTGCATGGACTCCATCACTCTCTGGTGGTTCCTCTTCATCTGGTCGATCTCCTCGTCTTTCTCCGCTACTTTTCTGTCAACTTCTGCCTTCATCTGGTTTAGATCCATTTGTACACGCAGGATCTTAGACTCCTCTTGTTCCAGAGAGGCCTTAAAAACAGTTTCATTTGTATGTGTAAATGTCAGTAGTTCCTTATACCACGTTTGATGAATATGTGTGTTGCTTTTCTGCTGCTTTCAGTGATCAGTACCTCAGCTTCTTCCAGCGCAGTCTGCATGTCATATTTCTCTGTCTCCACCTGCTTCTTGAATTTCTCCAGCTCGTGAATCGTCTTCCCAGTCTCTCCAAGTTGCTCTGTCAGGTCTGAGATCTCCTCTGCATTTCAAAATATGGCATGTCAAAGAGGTGTTAAAATAATGAATAAAATAAATAAAACACTTTTTTTCCCCTCACAGTAAGATTTCACTCACGTTGCAGGTTTTTATTTTCCCTTTTCATTGTCTCCAGATGATCAAGAGCTTCTTCATACGAGTTCTTCAGTTTGAAGAGTTCAGTGCTCAGGGATCGAGATTCTTTCTGAGCGCCTTCAAGCTCTGCCTGAGCCTCCTCATACTTCTGCTTCCACTCGGCTAGAATCTGGATTCATTGAAACAGTCACTAATAATTAATGATGTAACATAAACAACTGGTGTCTTATTATGCGTGATTGTCAAAGAAAATACCTTGTCAAAGTTTCTCTGCTTCTTGTCAAGGGTAGCAGCTAAGTTGTTAGACCTTTCCACATCCACCATGAGATCCTCCATTTCGTTCTGAAGTCGCTGTTTAGTTTTCTCCAGTGAGGCGCACTTTGAATTCACTGCTTCGATTTGTTCTTCAGCCTCTTGGAGGCGCTGGGCAAGCTTTTTCCTTTGAAGTGTGAGAAGGTAGTCAGAACACAGCAAACCAGGCAAACACAGGTATCATAAAGAGGGGTTAAAGTCCTAAAATAAAATATTTATAAAAAATGATGTGCACATACTGTATGGTTGTTTGATTAAACAGCAGAATTATATGTGGTATATGTTTGTTTTTTGGCCACCATGTGGCAGCAGAAAAGGCTGTAAATGTATCATCGACATATTATCACCAAGTGGCAACCCCCAAGGCTGAAAAATGAAGCCAACACAGATGTATCACTTCCTCTAATGGCCGCTTGAGGGTGACTACAACAGTGAGTCAATCCCCATAGATCCCAATGTCAAAATGCCAGACTTTACAGTAGAAATAAACAGGTTTACAGGCTGGTACAAAAACAGTTTTGGTCTCTACAGCTAATTTCCTCCTTCATGACGACTGTACAGGGGTAAATTTTTATATAACTCAATCTTTTGAGTTTTATTAAGGCTTAAGGTTCTGCATAATTGAGGGCGTGGCTGCTTTGAGTGACAGGTGGGTGAGTGTATGATTGCCACAAGCTGGCTTGCACCAAAATCTCGGCTCCACACATGCTCCACCTCTTTGCCCATTTTTGGATTAACCAGGGGTTAGGCGGAGTCAGTCACTGCCAAGATGGCGACAGCGGAGCAGCTCACTCTGAGCAGCTCAATCTGAGCAGCTCACTCTGAGCTTCAAAACCAGGCTTCAGAAACCTGTGGGTGACATCATGGAGGCCACACCATCTTTATTTACATGTCTATTACATTGTCTATGATTATCACTGCACACAGTTGTGTTGAAGGTTAGTGGTTCCATATTTGCACATTATTTTTATGTAGTTATTCTTAGATAGTGATAGTGGAATGAAGAGAGAGATACAACAAAGGTCCACAGTCAGAATTAAACCAGTTCATGGGAGCACCCCACTATCTCTGCTAGTGGGTCAGGTAGCAAACTGAAATCTTTGCTGGAAATGAACCAAAACAAATAAAAGTTGTGGGCCTAAAACCAAAACAATGTGCTTAAAGGATACTAAAACACTCTGTAGAGCTTTCACATTATACAGTCATTGATGTACTGCCCAATTTATTATCTAATCTTACTTTGCCTCCTCGAGCTCCTCAGTGCGTTGGATGGCGTCAGTCTCATATTTGTTCCTCCACAGAGCCACCTCAGTGTTCGCCTTTGACAAACTCCGCTGCAGCTCAGCTTTGGCCTCCTGCTCCTCCTCGTACTGCTCACGAAGGAGATCGCAGTCATGACGAGCTGACTGCAAACTATGAGCCAGGGCATTCTTAGCCTACCAGGAAGACATTAATTGATGAAAGATCACAAGAAAAAAACAGAGTAAGTAAACCAGAGAAGTGATTGTGTTTGCAAGTGTGAGCTTTCATTACCTTTGTTTCTTCCTCAATCAGCCTCTTTAGCTCGTCAATCTGTGTCGTGAATCCCTGTTTTCCTCGCGTCAGTTGGGAAATGAGACTCTCTCTCTCTTCCATTTGTCGTGAAAACTCAGCTATGACAAGCAAAACAAGAAACCACATTTTAATTAAAGGTCTTCAACTTAATGAACTGAACTAAGATGAGGGACAGATCTACCATTCTCAGTTTGAAAACGGGCCCTCTGATTGGTGAGATCAGAAATATGTCGCATGTTTTCATCATTCTTGGTCTTTAGCTCCATTAGCTGATCTTCAAGTGAGCGACACATCTTCTCCAGGTTGACCTATGAGTAGAGAAAATTAACACAAATTTGACATTCAAGCAGTTCAATGAGTTCTGGGTTCCCTAATACTCTAGTAGGGTATGTCAGGTTTATAAGTCCCACCTTAGCTTTTGCAACTGCTTCCATATTACTGGCCATATCATCAATCTCCATCTTCATTTCACTCTTCTCCTTCTCCAGTTTCTGTTTGATTCTCTGGAGGTTGTCGATCTGCTCTCCCAGCTCGGCCATGCTGTCCGCCTGCTTCTTGCGCAGGGCGGCGGTCGTGGCCTCATGGTGCAGCGTGGATTCCTCCAGGTCACGTCGCAGTTTGAGGAACTCAGCTTCGCGCTTCTTATTCATCTCTATCTGCACAGCAGTGGCTCCTCCGGCCTCCTCCAGCCTCTCGCTGATCTCCTCGATCTCCCTGGTGAGGTCAGACCTCTGCTTCTCAATCTTGGCCCGAACCGCTCGTTCGGCCTCGACCTCTTCCTCCAGTTCTTCAATACGGGCCTTAAAACAGAAAATGTAATATACCACAATGAGGTGAAATTTGGTTGCAATGAATCTGATGAATGTATGACTTGAATCTGTGCTTTATTACTTGGAGTTCCTTCATCTTCTTTTGGAGCTGATTATTAATTGCTTGCTCGTCTGCAATGTTGCTGAGCAGCTGGTTGTTTTCAAATTCTTTTCTATGAGGAAAAAAACAAAAAGTTGTCAATTTAAGCACTAAAATGTATTTCCTTCACACATATTTCCCATGATCAATGCATTATCTTACTTCTTAATTCTTTCCTCAGATTGCTGCTTGTCATTTTCCAGATCCATCAGGGATTCCTGTGTGAGCTTCAGATCTCCCTCCAGCTTCCTCTTGGCTCTTTCAAGGTCCATGCGGATCTTCTTCTCTTGCTCCAATGAACCCTCGAGCTTGAAAACAAGTTGCACAAAGCTAATTAAAAATGTTAAGTAACATCAGGGTTGGAGCATGTCTTTGTAAGCAACTCACATCATCAACTTGCTGCTCAAGCTTGGACTTGGCTTTGGTCAGAGAGTTGACTTTATCTTCCTCTGCTTGAAGATCATCCAGCCCCTGCTGATGAGCTTCTTGAAGAGCTTTCTTCTCCTTGGTCAGTTTGCCAATGTTTTCATCCTGACCAGCCAGCTCTTCTATTAAATTTTTGACCTGCAATAGGTAATGTGCATACACATAATTATAAACCTGAAACTCAACTAAACCTAGAAGTAACTTGTAGCTCATGTAGTTCATGAAATTTTCTGCAGACATTAATGGTTCTCAGAGGATGAATCCAAATGACTTTGGTGATCTACTGCCACCATTAAGTTGGCATTTGTGGTTCCAAGGAAAAATGTCTTGACAACTTTTGCATGGACTGCCATGAAAAAAAAGCAAATAAATGAGACCAAACACAGAAAGCAGAAGGAACACACAGAGGTATGAACCAAGTAGTACAAGTGAAATCACAAACCTTGTTTTCTGTGGCATGTTTCTCCTTCTCCACTTTAGCCAGGGTAATCTCCAGGTCATCAATGTCTTTTTTAAGCTCAGAGCATTCGTCTTCCAGCTTCCTCTTCTTGGCGGTCAACTCAGCATTCATTTCCTCTTCGTCCTCCAGTCTCTCGGTCACCTCTTTGAGTTTGGCCTCGAGCTGGATTTTGCTCTTGATCAGTCCTTCACACCTCTCCTCTGCATCACATAGATTTTCTGAGTCCTAAGAAAAACACAGAGAGAACAACACTAATGTGATCATTTGGATATTTTTTGACTGGGATCAGTGGCTTTAATTTGCTGATACTCACAGATTGTACTTGCAGGAGGAGGTTATTTTTCTCCTGCAGCAGAGAAACCATTTTCTCTTCAAGCTCCTTTCTCTTGGTCTCTGACTTTGCCAGATCCTCCTTACATTTGACAAAGTCCTCTTTCATGGTTGCCATCTCCTTTTCAGTCTCTGCGCTCTTTAGAAGTGGCTTTATTTTAAAGAACAGCTTCATCCATGGCCAGTGTTTCACATTCATGAATGAACGCAAGTTATATTGCAGAATCCAGACGCAATCTCTGTCAGATACGCAGCATCAAAGGTATTAGTGGTAGGTTAATGTCCTTAATAAATAAAGAGCATTTTTGGTGCTAATATTACCTTTGTGCAATTAGATTGGAGAATTCCCTTCTCATCAGATAACCACGACACAGTGCTTGAGTCTGCGTCACCAGAGAAGCTAGTTTTTCATCTCGCAACTCCTCCAGAGTGCCAAGTAAACCAGCTTTGAAGAAGACCTACAACAACATCCATTAAACTGAATCAATTTGTTTCTCATAAAGGGTATTCTCAGTGGTACCAAAAGCTTTTAGGACTTTAAGCTATGAGGCATTTGGACACATACCTTTGTAGCCCCAAATCGGTACTGTGTGTGGTCAACATCAATTGAACCAAGAAGCTTCTCGGAAGCCTTCTTTCCGTCAATGAACTGTCCCTCAGGGATGGCACTGGCATTCAGGATTCTGTACCTGTTCAGATTGAGATTAAGATATATATATATATATACTCGCGATCTGCAATGATGTAGACAAAAACACAAGTAGACCATTACTTATAATTATCTAATTGTGTAATCCTGACCTCTGCTTGAAGTCAGCATAAAGAATTCTGCTGGGAAATCCCTTCCTGCAAATCCTGATACCCTCCAGCACACCGTTACAGCGTAGCTGGTGGATGACCAAGTGATTGTCCATGATACCTGCAGACAGGTCCACATGAATTACTTGGAAACTGACTCTAAAATCAAATTTAAACATCATGTTTTTGTCTTTAATTGCACAAACAATATACAGTGTTTGCACACCTACCTGGTGTTTTAATCTCATTTGGAATCAGGCAGCGCACAAAGTGAGGATGGGTGCTCCTCAAGTTTGTCATTAGTTTTCCCAGATTTTCCTGTAAATTTGAGGATATCAAACAAAAATAAAAGTTGACACAGCTTATCAAAGATGAAAACAATCAAAAAAAAAAAAAAAAAAAATCCAACAATCCAACCAAACTAAATTAATATTTGACTAGTGCGACTTACTGGAGACAAAATGATATGAATACACCACCTTGTATGATCATTTCAAGGCAAAAAGTCATATCCACATAGATTAATATCAGCTCTGTACCCTGAAAACAGCAGACACTGTCTGGAAGGAGCCACCCTTCTTCTTTCCACCTTTCTTTGCTTTTCCACCTGCAGCATCACCACCTGATTCTACAGAGCAAACAGAAATATTAGTTGTCCTTTGTTAAGGTGTGAAGACCAGTATTTATTATTTCTACAAAATCCAAATCATTCCTTAAATAGTTTCCACCCGGACACCCACTGTTCCATTACTAAGGATTTCAGTCTCTTTAATTGATGCTAATAACTCCAACACTTTGTAAATCCTGTACCTGCTTCAGCACCAGAAAACGAGGCATACAAGTAGCCCAGTAGTTTCATTGATGACTTCTGGTAAAGCTGCACCACAGACTCGTTCAGCGGGTCTTTGTTCTTCTCCAGCCAGCCGCTGATGTTGTAGTCCACAGTGCCGGCGTAGTGCACCAGGGTGAAGTGAGCCTCTGGCTTGCCTTTCACAACCTTTGGCTTTTGGAAAGCATTTGTCTTTCCAAGATGCTGGTCGTAGAGTTTATTCTTAAAAGAGGTGTCTGAAGCCTTGGGGAACATACACTCCTCTTCAAGGATGGAGAAGATGCCCATTGGCTGTTGAATATATCATAGGCACATATGAGACACTATGTTTAAAATGAAGTTAAATATTAAATTGGGCAGTACATCAATCCTACCTTTTCAATGAGCTCAATGCAGGCTGCCAGGTCCATACCAAAGTCAATGAACTCCCAGTCTATTCCTTCCTTTTTGTATTCTTCTTGCTCCAGTACGAACATGTGGTGGTTGAAAAACTGTTGCAGCTTCTCATTAGTGAAATTAATGCAGAGTTGCTCCATGCTGTTGAACTAAGACAACAATTAACCATTAACATATGACGAATCCACATAAAACTGAGAAACAACAATAATAATAGATGGAAACCATCAACCAAAATAAGCTTTGAGTCCGAACTCACATCAAATATTTCAAATCCAGCGATGTCCAACACTCCAATGAAGAACTGTCTGGGCTGCTTTGTGTCCAGCATCTCATTGATTCGTATGACCATCCATAAGAACATCTTCTCATAGACAGACTTGGCCAGAGCTCCAACTGAATTGGTGACCTGACCAGAAGATGTTGCACATGAAACTGATCGTAAAACTTACAACATGGCTACAGGACATAAAGGAAGTTTCTCAGTGGCTGATATTTGTCCATACTGGACATCATTGAGTGGGGGGTTTCTTAAGTTTTGCCCAAACCAACCAGTACTGAGTGATGTATCTATCCCGCAAAACTTATATGTAATCAATACTGTCTACTGGAAGCAGTTGGTAGGAGGCTAATTTTAGAAATTTTAGACCTGACGAGTTTACGACTTGTTAAGTCGACTTACAGCAACCTGTACACTAGTGTCAGTCTCACATAAGTCTGTCAGTAGCATGCTGACACTGAAACTGTGGTAGCAGCAGGTAACAAAGTGTTTCAGGACAATTAAGATTTCTACATACAGAGTTATTTCACTAAGCCGACTTACAACAACCTGGATGTTTTTCTGTTGCTATTTTCATGGTTGTAGCTGAATAACTAGCAAGCTTGATAGGAAGATAATGTCAATATTCTTAATTCCACCAAGGTTAAGCTCTGATTGGTTGGCTGCATGAATGACTACATGAATCCCTGAACAAACTGGAGATGTGGGCAGTGAGGCAGAGGTCTGGCTACTTGTTACCAACACACTGAGTCATTTTATTTATAGGCTTGGTGAGGGGAGGAAACACCATCGCACTTAGCATCATGGTGATATCTGCTTCAATCATGTGCATTATCTCCTATATTTGGAGAACTCATTGTGCACTATAGACGGTTATAACTTTGAGCTGTTTCCGTACCTGGGGGACCGTTTGACCTTTGGTGACATATTCATTCCCCACTTTCACTCTTGGGTAGCAAAGGCCTTTCAACAAGTCAGCAGAGTTCAGGCCCATGAGGAAAGCGACTTTGTCTGCAACTGTGAGGCAAACATGAGCATTTTTGTTAATTCAGTCTGCATCTTCACTGAAAACAAAATGACAAAAAAAAGGAAAAAGTCTCACCCTCAGTGCCATCGGGCTCCGCCTGCTCCTCCCGCTGCTTCTGCTTGAACTTCATGTTCCCGTAATGCATCACAGCGCCAGTCAGCTTGTAGATGGAGACTTTCTCTTCATTGGTGAAGCCCAAGACATCAGTGGCTGTCTGTTAAATTAAATTAACAGTGTTAGTAGAAGCCAATAAAAAGCTTGTAAATGGCGACTGACAAGAGAAAGCTCACATCTGTGGCCACCAGCTCCTCTCTGTCGTCAATGCTGGCCACAGTGATCTGCCCCTGACTTATCATGGGGAAGTCGTATGGGTTTGTTGTTATGAGAAGCATTTCTGTAGAGAGAAACAAATAAAATTACTTGAAAATAAGTCTAAAAAATATCTTAAATTGCAAGATATTAATGGCCTCGCCATACCTATAAGCTCTGGTTTGTGCCCAGTCTGAATCTGATAGAAGATGTGGTAGCTCCTCTCTTCAGACAACTGGAACGTCACTCTTGACTTTTCCAGCAAGTCTACATGAAATTATGAATGAAGTCATGATTAACAATAGCAGGTATACTGTACATATAATGCACAATATTTATTTGGCAAGACAAACTCACAGGTTTCAATATCAGCAGAAGCCAGTTTCCCTGTTGTTCCAAAGTGAATTCTGATGAATTTGCCCTATGAAACATAAAATCAGGCAAAATGCACATGAGAACATGAATGTTAAAAATGCATAGTGGTTCAAGGAATAAGGAATGTTACGTTCTTGCGACAGGTTATTCAAATAAAATCAATATTAGAGCTCATACTTACAAATCTTGAGGAGTTGTCATTCCTCACAGTCTTGGCGTTCCCAAAAGCCTCCAGCAAAGGATTCGCTGAAATGATTTGATCTTCCAGTGTCCCCTGAAAAACACAGCCAGCGTCATCAGAATCATGTCTTTTTTGTTAAAAATGTAATCTTATTGAGGGATTATGAGATGGGTTTCTGTCACATTTCCACTACCTGAATTTTTCCAGGTGAGTGGTCTTTCTTGTCACCGCCACCAGCCACTGCGATTGTCGCAAAGTACTGGATGACACGCTTGGTGTTGACAGTCTTTCCTGCACCAGATTCTCCACTGTGAACACAGAATAAAAGAGAGCTGAGGACAACAACAAAAAGTACACCCTTGCATCATTTATTGATTGAATTATAAGACACATTTTAAGTTTATATGTAACAGACTTACGTAATCAGGACAGACTGGTTCTCCCGATCTGTCAGTGACAAAGAAATATGAACAAGTTTTGGTGACGTGATGCCTTGAAAAACTCACTATGAGCAGTGATGTGTTTTTTCTTTAAAACTTAAACCTTTATATATTCATGTTTTTAGAGGTTCTAAATTTTGATTATGAAACTGTTGTGGAACGGCAGCCATTGTGGCCTCAAGTGGCAATTGCAAGCTAATGCCATATTGAATATCCAGTCAGTCAGTTGCTTTAAATCATTAGGCGACCTGATTGAAATAACAATAAGCTGAATGGGGCCACAAACAGGTAATGACAAATATGTCTCCTGGTGACGAATAATGTGTGTACCTCTGACTTTTTCTCCTTCTCACATTTATAATTATTTTAGTCAAACAAGTGGCGCAAACCGACTCCAAACTAACCCCAAAAACAATATTTAGCTATAGTTTGCTAATGTTAGTGATCTTTAGCCACCATAAGCTGCTGGTCATTCCAGACCAATTAAGTGTATTGAATTAAAGAATGTTTTATCTCCTCTGACTTTCTAGGATTTCTTTTTCAAAGTTACACACCACTGGGTTTAAAAATTCACCGGCTTTGACTGAGGCAGCCAAAAGTCTATATGGACAATTTTGTGCCATCATCAACATAATTATCTTCACATTGGGCTGAGTTTTGCAAAGACATTTGCATTTAGTATTTACCCCACAATTTTGATCCCTGAAACACCACTGAAACCCTATTTACTACTTTTTTACGTTACACATAAAATAACATTGCAGCACAATCAAGTCAATATAGATACATATAATGTATGCAAAAAAAAAATCTATATAATTGACAAACTTGGCCAACATCTGACATTGAAAATCAACATCTGTTCTGGATTAAACAATATAATCATTCAAGAATGTAATTTTGTTACATGCTCAAAGAAGTCATTGTTTGTTACCTGTAAGCATATTTTGATATGCATTATCAGAGACAGAGAAAATATGTGGTGGGGCCTCCATGCGCTTTTTGCCTCTGTAGGCCGACACAACCTTTGGGTCGTACACCGGCAGCCACTTGTATGGGTTTACAGTGACACAGAAGAGCCCAGAGTAGGTCTGCAGAGGAAAATATACATTATGTGAGGTAAGAGAGAGAGAGAGAGTCACTCAGACAAACAAAGTAGTTGAAACCCCCCCCCCCCATCATTACGTACATAAATCATCCATGCTGCGTAACGATCTTTGAGGTTGAACAGCACAGAGGGCTCATTGAGGTGGGTCATCATGGCCATGTCCTCAATCTTGTCATACTTTGGGGGATTCATAGGATGGCAGTCATCCTCCTTGACTGTTACCGTCTGGAAAATAAAAAAGAGAAGAGAAGAAGAAAAGAAGAGAAGAGAAGAGAAGAGAAGAGAAGAGAAGAGAAGAGAAGAGAAGAGAAGAGAAGAGAAAATAATATTGAAGGAAAAAATAGAATATTCCTGCCGCAGAACTAACAGAAACAGAAAAAGAAAAATAGCATGAGAACAAACTAGTATATAAAATTAAAAATTGCATTCAGAATAAATAAAATGTTGGTTTCTTTAAACACCAAACCAAGTGACGCTTGAAGTTCCACACCAGTGTTTTTGCATGTTTCAATCCATTTATTGCAAATCATTTACATAACACTGACTAGTTTATAAGGCATGCTGTAGTGTTTTAGATTGTTTAGTCAGTCTACACCTGATAATCAGTGATTTAAAGTATACGTGGTTTGTTCATCACTGATGCTGTGCAGAGAAATATTCACCTCATCAGCTTCAGTCTTCACGGTGACTTGGCCACCTTCCTTGTTCTGTATGATACCTTTGATGTACAGCTCCTTGGCATTGGGCACAAAGCAGGCAGTTCTGGCATCGAAAGGCCGGTTCTGAGCCTCAACTCTTTCCTTCTCAGGTTTGCGGAGAAAGATGGCTGCCGGCCCGTACTGGGCCATCTCGGCATCACTGCTCATGTTGATACCTCAAGGCATGAAAGTAAGGCACATTTAAGTTAAATTAATTAAGATGTTCAAAAGATTTTTTAGGAAGTTTGAGTACAATTTTGTTTCTTACTTACCAGGTCTGCTCAACCCAGTTGAATTGAATCAGAAGTTGGTCAGTGCTGCAGGTCAAACACACAAATAAAAAGATTATGAAGAAGGGCAGTTCCCAGCCACGACTGCTGACAGATGCTGGTCTCAGAAGGGTAGACGATAGATCTTACCAATTGTCAGAGAATGGCAGGCCTCTAAGTGAAGACCAGTGGGAGGCTGAGGCCCCTTTTATCAAGATGAATGTGCTGCTGAAGCAAACCGGATGCTCCAAACTTGGCAATGTCACTATTCAAATGTCAATCAAGTCGCATTATCGATTTCTGCTCAACACTTAAATATGGCACAGGATCCTCTGGTGGTAATAGGAACATGTCAGCAGCAACAGGCGATGATCCTCAAGCACTATTTTTACATGCCTTCTGTACTGTCAAGAGCTGTCACTAACTACTTAATGTTTATGCTGTTCAGCAGGATGACAGCTCATGTTTAATGCATGATGAACTGTTTAATCAGTGTATTTAGAGCAATAATGCCGATTTACAGAAAGAAAGTGTCAGTGTGTGTGTTTATGGGTGTAACTCAGTGTGTGTTAATGATGTGTCACGACCTTCATGTTCACCCTGGACTCGAGGACCACCTGCTCATTCACCTCTGAGGCACCTTGCTTGGATTAACTGGTTCAAACTCAAGACAAATGTCAGTACAATGTCAATATTACTTTTTTAGAATATATCGTGAGAGAGATTCGCTGCGCAAATCAGATCATTTCTTGTTGCAAATTGTTTAGGTTTTTATTTTGCATCATGCACATATCATAAAGATGAATCTGTTCTGTTAATGTCTGATTAGGGTTAATAATGAATAATTTCATTCTCAGCTCCTCATGGGTAAGTACAATCTCTGCATGTATAGAGCTATGATATAGTTATAAAGTGGACATTTGACTGAAATTAAGCACAAGTTGATTTTTTCAGTGTTGTTCAAGCTCTCTCCCACACAGCATGTCATTCTTAATCTGAAAACAAGCTTTACATCCTGCAGGCAGGACATTACATATCATAAACTGTAAATCAAATTTTAGTATTTAAAATCTTTTAACCATTCTGAGCTTGCAAAAGAACACTGCTGGTATATGTCATTGTTTGTTTTTGCTATTTTAGTGGTGCTTTTACAGTATCAAGTGTTTTATATTCCCCAAATCTTCACAAGCTCTGATGTCATTTAACATCAAGACGCCATACTATAACATACATATAATAATTGGGGTAAAAACACAAAACTCACCAGATATTTTTTCTAGAGAAAGACAAAAGCCAAGACATTTAAAAAAAACAAACAAAAAGCAAAACCAACAAACAAAAATGGACTCATAATTATCCCAGAAGTCACATTCTTCAAATCTTTTCAAAATCCAATAATCACAATTTCAGACAAGTAGAATCTGTGATGTTTTCTCTATATATATAGCACAGTGGCTGTGGTCAACTTAAATGAAAGAGATATCACAATACTCATAGGAACAGCTCAAACAGGTTCTGCAGTACAATAATTCACTAACACAAAATTTGTGTATTGTCAGTATAACAAGATATATCAAAAAGATTCATCATATGACTTAGAATGAGTGAGAGTGAGTTAGAAGTGAATTAAAAGTTGTATGCAGAGAACAGAAATGGACCAAGAATTGAGCCCTGTAGCGCACCACACGTTAAACAGGTCGATGAAGAAATAATCATATATAGAGACACTTACGTTGATATTATAGAGAAAAGATTTTAATAATTTTTGGACAGACTTATATAATAGACGTTAATTTACTACAACTATCTCTGCTGCTTCTCAATTCAAACCACAATTGATTTGTCTGAGACATGCTCCATGCCTATTTTCTCACTATTTTCTATGCCAAGGTTAGTGATAGCCACCTTGAGGGAAATTTTCTGGTTTGTCTGGTTTGTTTACAAGTTAACACATGACGGTGTCCTATGTGCGCTATACTTAAGGCAGTGTGAACATCTCAAGGAAGTGGAAACACATGGCAACCAGTTTGTACTACATTTAGAATAAGCATACAACTGACTGTCTGTAACCTGACCTCTCATCATATTAAGGGGAGCAGTGCGCAGAAGCAAGTGTGAACAGCAGCTTGTCATCTTGAAGATACATCACATCATCTCTTAATATCCAGTAGTAAGGCAGACTGTGTGTTTATAGGCTCTGCGACAAGGAGATATTACGCAAAATCAAAGCTTATCCCATTTATATGAGGGGACTTCATATGTGCATCTTTTTGGCAACTGGTGAAAATCAAGTCAGTTTTGGTGGTATGCTGTTTTGCTTGATTTCATATTATTGTTAGAGTTGTTGAGAACTTTACCGTCTGATAGTTCGAGTGCAGTCGCTGCAGTTTGGCCTTTGCCTTTGTTTTCTTGTTCAAGTAAATTTAAAGTTTTCTTGTCTTCTTGAAACTTGTCTTAACTCTTTAACCTTAGATACTGTTTGTTTTCCTTTATTTTTCCCAGTTTATCTGAATTCCTTCTAACAGTCCCGTGTTTACTTTATGTTCTCAGTGTAAAACTGTAATGTGCTCAGCATGAATAACAGGCATTCCTCTCCCAATGAGGTGGTGAGTGAATAACCCTATAGCCTGACTGAAAATGCTGACGAGCTGGTGGACAGTGTTGGTCCCTGCCTGTCCACTTAGTGTCCTGTTTCTGTTAGTGCAAACAACAACCTGTCAACTCCTCAAGTCCTCTTCCTCCTCCTCTTCGTACTTCGTCTCCTCTCTTGGAGGTTACCTTCAGCACTTGTACGTAACCCTCCCCTGCTGAAAGTCAAACATGCACTGCAGTAACTCTAACCTTTCTTCACAGGGATTTCTACAAATGTCATGAACATACCAGCTGCTGCCGATTACTGCACCGCTGACAGGAGGAAAAAAAAGTGGATTTTCATGACGTCCATTTTAACCTGCAGGCTCTTCTACAACACCCAAACGTTAGTGCTGTGTTTTTCAAGTTATTATCTCTTGTCTTGGTTTTCAGCTGTAGCTGTGAGCCGATGCTAATGTGATTTTTACAGTTGAATTGGTGAGTGACTGCAGTGTTAATGAGCAGATTTTCATGATCAGTTATGTTCTTCAGATTTAAGTTAAAAGCAGCAGTAGTGTAACCATGCTGGTTTAATGCATTATTTTTTCTTCATTTTATCTGCAACTGTGCGCAGAGAAGTGTGGTCTCATTATTATCAAACTGCATGTCTCCATTTACTCATGTACTGTACTTAGATACTCAAATAATTCCTTTTTGTGCAACTTTATAATGTTTCAGGGGGAAATATGTACTTTAACCTAACAAATTTAGTTACTAGTTAATTTCTTAATTAAAAGATATGTTAATATGTTGTGATGCTGCACTATACTACTAATCTACCAGCAGCATATACAAAATTGGCTCCATTTTGACAGAACTGCATCATTAAAATGCTCTTACATGTATTTGTTAGTGATAAAAACACTGTGAAAAGGGCATTTCTGACAATACTTAATACTTTTACGTCTGATATTTCAACTTTTATTTAAGGAAAGGATCTGAGTACTTCTTTCACCCCTGAATATCTCACAGCTGGAGAAGTATTATCGCATATCTTTTGCAGTCATGTTTTTTTTCCTTTTTGTTCTGAGAAGATAAAATAAAGATACTTGACAGATTCAGACTGTGAATGTGGATGAATAAACCAGCATCTCATGGGAAATAAACATCAGATGTTATGGCCTTTATTGGTTCCAGGGAGTAAACAACAGTTGATGAATAATGTTGAATGTGAATAAAGTGTCTCCATCTTTTGGCGGTCAACTTCTACTACAGGTAGCAAGACCAGACAATTGGTGCAGGGTGAATTCGTTCTTATCCATTTCAGCCTGTGAAGAATTTGTAATAAGCTAATAAGGAAGAAATTGAAGAGTATTGTTTTTTTTCTTGGGAATGGGATAAGAACCTTCTCTGATTTTACCACTGACTGAAGTCTGGGTCCTTCTTAGGATTAAATGTGTTTGGACTGCAGCGAGGATCAATGAGAGATTATTCATTAATCATTAAGTTCAGTCTGATTTCACAGTGCTTCACAGTTACACAGACTTTCATCAAATTTTAGTTCAGGTCAGTGCATAAATAACTGCAGCGTAGACACTATTCCTGGAACATGTTGAGCGGCCACTGTTTACTTAGCTCGGTCTACACTGATCCCAGGATTAACCACACAGAACGGCGACCAGATCCTGTTTATATGTGAGATATTCTTCTGATTTCAGTTCAAAATCTTTAGTTTAAACTGATCAAATGTTTCCAACTCTGGTGAGAAATAAATCTGTCGATAGATCGTCTGTAAATATTGTCTGTTATATCATAGAATCTTGTCTCCAGGAAATGCAACAACAAAAAAAAAAGGTTAGAAAAATAGTTGCGTCTCAAAAACTGGTAAATAACCAGTAGTATTTCTAGTGCTGCAATGAATGATAAAGAAATACACAACATCACATCAAAATCTAGTGTCTTGTCACATATGTGTAGCTCTGCCGTCGTCTGCCTGAATAAATAAAGACAGTAACATGATTGATGCGACATGTGCAGGGCATCTATTATTTATCATGGCTCACAAGCTACTTTCATGTGTTGTTTTGTGCAACTATACGTAATGACTGTGTGTGGATTTGGTGTCAGATCAATGCACCAGTGCCAGTGCATTCAGATTCAGATTCAGTGGCCTCCGAGTGTTTTGTAAGTCAGCATGTACTGAAGACTCTACTGCACTGCAAATCACACACCTCTCTGAAGCAGGTGTCTTCTTTATTTCAGCCACAAAAACAAGATTTTGGACTAGAATAAATGTAGGAATCACCCTCCCACAGCAATCTTTCCACA